CGTGGAGCAGTGTGCCGTAGAGCATTGGGGCGTTGGCCTTGCTGGTGGCCTTTACACGGTCTTGCAGCACCGCACGTCGTAAACACCCAAAAGAGTCAGCGACAACAGTCGATGAGATGAGATGATCAGGATGAAGAATGAGCATGTTGTGGTGGTCATCAATGATACACTGTCCCGTACTTGTAAAGTCACCGATGACATGCACGAACGAGCCCGTAGTGCATGGAGTGTCGAACCAAGCTTGTCGTAAAGTGATCGCTTTGAATAACTTTGTCTTTTCTTCCTCAACTAGCAGAACCTACACTGTGTTAGCGTGGGCAGCCAAAAGGCGCTTGAGTCCGTGACTTACCTTCTCGGGCATCTGGTAGCCGCGATCCGTGGTATATGAACTTTCGTCCACTCGCTTGATAAGGTAGCGCTGGATTGCTCTATTTTCCTGTTGACTCTTCGAGATTTAGTAGGCTTCTTTGATCAGGGGTAAGTTCACACTCTACTTACAGTATTGGCAGGTACTTGGGTGGCTGCAACTTCGGCGGCAGCGAACTCGTCAGCATCGATGTCCTCTCCAAAGTCGTCATCGTCGTCCTCGTCGTCCAGAAGGCTGATGACGGGTGCCGACGCTGCACTTGCTGTAGCTCCTACGCCTTCCGCCTCTGCGGTCAGGGCCTGGTCTGCTATTGGAGACTCTACAGATCGCGTATCGTAGAGCGATGCTACATGTTCCAGATCCGCAGCGAAGTCATCCTCATCGTCCATGCCAAACTCATCGTCATCACTGCCTTGTTGTGGTATCCGTGCTGCATGATGGTGTTGTGCGGGCGCAAGGATGGGCTCGGTGGGTATGGTAACGTAGCTCGTGGAGCGTGCCGGTGGCGCGGACTTCGTGGGCGGTGGAGCTTGCACAGGTCGAGGTGATATATCCAAAGCTTCCACCATATCCGCGTCGAAGTCGTCTCCGAAGTCATCTGAGGATCCCTGCGATGCCGGTGGCTTCGGTGCCGCTTCCACGTAATCATCTTCTTGAACGAGCTCGTCATACATTTCCACGGTATCTTCTAGAGGTGCCGACTCGTGCCGTATCGTTTCGGAGGTTTCTGCAAGATAGTCGCGTGCACGCCGCTGAAGAGGAGAGCCTGACGATTCGTCCTGACGGTCGCCGGCCCCAGGCAATGGGGACGAGCTTGAGGGCATCTGTGACGATATACGCGGCTGTGACTTTGACACGCATTCCCTCATGCGCTGGACCATGCTCGCGATGTTGGGTTTCGCGGGTTGTCCAAGCATAATCCCATCCGAACTAGATGCGCCAGCGAAAACGTCCTCTGTAGCTTCTTGCTCCGGCTGAAACACACCGTGGGTTCTCCGTTTCTTCCGGGTCGATGCTGGGAACTCTACGCCACAACTTGCCCATCTGCGAAGCCCACTGACACTTCCAGCAGCAGCCATCGACCTGGGTGACGATTCGTTGATGAGATGTGCGAACGCCACGCTCTTATTGGCGCTTGGTGTTCCCTTGTTGTTTGTGTACCGTGACCACAGCTCCATGGCAGGGTCGGCCTGGGGTGTTGTGATGTCTTGCCTGGCGCCGTCCAGTCTGTGTTCGTCTTGCGACGGTCCGACAGGCGACGAGCTCCTAGCGCGCTTCTTGTTCTTCCGAGGCAAAGGCGTGTTCACTGCCTGCGAGCCTCTCCATATCAGCGTCTCTTCGGGCGAGGCGACGGGTTGCGGCGCGTGTCTCGAGGAATCGTCGACGTTGCCCACTAGGTCCGCAAGCGGCAGCCTCGTGGTGGCGGGGGTTGACGGCGGCGGACAGTCGAGAATGGTCGGCAGCTTCGGAGTCTTGATGGTGTTTCCCACATCTTTCGCGACCCGATTCGCCTTTGGTGTGCCCATGGGCTTGGCTGTCTTTCCTCGCGCCGAAGGTAGGTTTTCTTTCTCAGCCTCGCGCTGGCGGAGGGACTCGGCCGTGGGTGCGCCCTCGATGAATTGGAAAGCTTTGAGCTTGGTGCGTGTCTGGGTCGAAGGCATGATGGGAGGGCCAGTAACTACCTGCCGAGCCTGCGGCGCCGCCTGGTTACTGTTTTGGTGGGGGAAGTTGCGTGGGCGGTTCCATTGGCCCTTGAAGTGCTGCTGCGAGGGTGAGAGGTGAGTAGGCGGCGGCAGTGAAGGCAGCGGACTATCCAAGTACCTTTGGCTTCGGGTTCTGGTCAAAGAAGGACCTCTGTCGCGTGGACATGGAGATGGTTGGTAGCGTCAGCGTCGACAAAGCACCGAACGCGAGAGACGCGTCGTGAGTGGCCAATCACGTTGGGCGAGGCGAGAGCTCGTGGCGATACGCGCTCGGGCCGGTTGCTGCGAGCCGACGTGCGACACAGCTCCGAGTGCGGGGACCTGCGCTGGCCTGAACCACTCTTTGCATGAATCGCATCTATGGGACACAAGCATGATCAGATCAAGGCTATTCGTTTGGAGACTACGTTGAACATTGAGAATCGTAGACAGTCTCGGTCTAGGCCGACCGGCATGTGCAGGCTTCCCGAGGTCCGTCATAGTCCTCGGACATGCTGATTGATACAGTCACGGAATTGACACGACTTGGCGTATCGCAGGTAGCTCCGCGTATCACAAAAGTAGCAAGACATGTCTAGAGGCAGGGACGGGTCAGATAGTCGCTTTTGCGCCAATCGAAATGGTGTCAACCGATGACGGGAAGCTAGGACCACGCCTAAGCGGAGTTTGGACTTTCATCCCACGCTCTAGCACTCTTTCCCCAGATTGTGCGCGCCGACCGTGAATCGCTCGTCCAACAGCGCCCATCTCTCTTCTCTCACCCTCGACCATCTCATTACCTCCCACCACAACCGCCAACATGTCTGCTGCCGATGCGAAGCCATTGCCTTTTGTCTACCAGTTCGCGGCTGGTAAGTTCCAATTCTCTTAACACCGCTCAGCTCCGATGCGACAGCTACCCGAGAGAAATCCGGCTCCGCACCAAGCAAGAAATCTATACGCGCTTCTCTCCGATTGTCGCACAGGGCATTCCTGCGTGCCAGTTGAGCTTCAGCTATGTCAATCAGTACTAACAATGTCCAGGTGCCGTGGCTGGTGTGTCAGAAGTGAGTGCGCAACTGTCTATGGAGCTCGCGTGAGATGAACTGTGCTAATGTAGCCCTATCTATAGATTCTGATCATGTACGTACCATCCTGCACCCGCACAGTCGAGACTCAAGCACTAACACTATCTCAAGGTACCCGCTGGACGTCGTCAAGACCCGGATGTAAGCGACCGCATATGACACCACCTCTAGACCGCCTCTAAACATACACAGACAACTTCAGACCTCTGGCAAGGTAGTCGGTGACGAGGGCTACAATGGCATGATGGACTGCTTCAGGAAGATCATCAAGAATGAGGGGTACGCTATGACGCTCCTGCGATCATGAGCAAGAGGGGTTGACATCTGCCAGTGCGTCGAGATTGTACCGCGGTATCACCGCGCCTATTCTTATGGAAGCTCCCAAGAGGTATGCGCTTCCCTGCTTCTTCATACCGACAAAGATGGAAATCATCTCACGCGACACAGGGCCACCAAGTTCGCAGCCAATGACTCATGGGGTTCCTTCTACCGCAACTTGTTCGGCCAGGCCAAGATGAACCAGTCGCTCTCCATCCTCACCGGCGCCACCGCAGGTGCCACCGAAGCCTTCGTCGTCGTACCCTTCGAGCTCGTCAAGATCCGGTTACAAGACAGGGCGCAAGCTCACAAGTACAACGGCATGGTGGACTGCGTGACCAAGATTGTCAAGCAGGAAGGACCGCTCACCCTTTACCAGGGTCTTGAGTCGACCATGTGGAGGCACATCCTGTGGAACGCTGGATACTTTGGCTGCATCTTCCAGGTCCGCGCTCTCCTGCCCGCAGCGACCACTAAGAAGAGCCAGATCACCAACGACCTCATGTCTGGTGCTATCGGTGGCACGGTCGGCACTATCCTAAACACTCCCATGGACGTTGTCAAGTCGCGTATTCAGAACTCTCCCAAGGTCGCAGGATCAATTCCCAAGTACAACTGGGCATGGCCGGCTCTCGGTACGGTCATGAAGGAGGAGGGCTTCGCGGCACTATACAAGGGATTCACACCCAAGGTCCTGAGATTGGGACCTGGTGGCGGTATCTTGCTGGTCGTCTTCACCGGTGTCATGGACTTCTTCCGCAACATGCGCGACGGCAAATGAGTGATCTCTCAGCTCGGAGTCAGTCCGCGTAGTGTTTAGACCACTCGACCATCGTAAAGTAGAAAGGAATCTCTTGATGTAGATTACGTATCCTGTATCCGCTTGCTACAAAGCAAGGCAGGGTCAAATCACATTCTTCAAATCATGTTATGATGACGTGAACTCGTGCTGGTCAATTTGTTGCTTTTGAGTGTCGCTCTACTTTCCCATCATCAATGCTTCGTCTCCTGAGATTCGTCAGATGGTATTGTTACTCTTGTTGTGGAGATGCATGAGATCAGCACTTTTCATACATCTAGCCCTAGAGAGCTGCCAGTAAAGGGCTTCACTAACGTCAAGTCCGGCCTGAGTCTGCGTACGCGAAAGTTCAAACAGCTTCTCAAAGGCTTGCGCTATACCCCACGAGTGGAATATCGCATCCCGAAACCAGCGCAGTCTAACACATGCCAATCCCGCGTTCTATCAACCCCAAACAACCCCACTTACGCGGCTAGACACGGGTGACGTCACCCTCCCCTCCAAGCCCTCACCATAGCCCATCTTGCTGCCTGGTGACCCCTAAAGCCCAAACAAACAAGTTAGTTCACGCAAGTGTCAGCCAGGGTCTACTTGCATAAGTACTGCATCCCCTCTACCCCACTTTCCGACCACAAAACTATCCAAACACTGCAACAACCTCCACGATAAGACCACTCTCCAAACTCCGCGCAAGCAAACACGTACATCCACACAGACTCTATACCACCCGAACACCACCGCACAACATGCCTCTCGTAGTCCCCGGTCTGCAGTCCAAGGACGGAAACTCCAACGATGACTGGATGAGCAAGCTCATGGGCAAGAAGCTTGGAGACCAGCATGATGAGATGGTGAGTTGCCTCTTACTATTACTTGTCCCCTTATCCTATCCCTCCGCTTGAGTCTCAACGCTAACTCAACGCTATCCTTAGACTTTCGCAAAGACCGACCTCCCCCAGCAACACCGCGTTCTCAACGAAGGCGACATGAAGACCATGGACTTCCAGCCCGAGAGGCTGAACGTTCACCTCGACAAGGATGGTACTATCAACAAGGTTACCAAGGGTTAAGCGGGTGTCGGATGGCACAGTCGCTGGGTGTGAGGCACGCCGATGATGAGTGCAGGCATGAAGGCATGAACCTTTGAGAGCCAGGCCTCGGGTCTTGTTAGTAGGCATATGAGAACATATCAAGTCACAGAAGTATAAGCCATCAGTGAGCTTGCAGTGATCAATGATAAGTGATAAGTGATAATTAATGAGAGTGTATCTGAAAAGAGATATCTGTCGCCACCTTGACCCCCAAAGTAAGTGATAAAACTCCGAAAACGCCTTACAATGATATCGTACAGTAAATGTGAAAGTATATACATCCGTACAAAGAAAGTAGATGTCACGCCTAGATACCCACGAATGTTTTCGAGATAGTAGAAGAGTAAGGCTGCGCCTTCAGCCTTGGACCTAAGCCCTACAGCCCTACATGAGCACGGATACCGATTCGAGGTGGAGCATTCGGAGACGCCGAAAGACATCGCCACTGTGGAGAAAGCTTGTCGCAACGTCGTTTCCTTTGAGTTGTGCACACGGTAGTTCTTCAATTTTTTGATCGCTTCCTCGACACGAAGCTGTCGTTCCTTATCATTTGACCCTCGTTGGACTTTCTGCCTAAGGCTGCAATAAGATCAGTCATTCTGAGCATCGTGGAATGAATTGCTTCAGGATGCTCAAAGCACAGCATGATGCATGCCCGCATTGTTGTTGCAGAGAAGTATCTTCGCACGATCTTGTCTTTGCTGTTGTTGCTCGCGGCTCCCATGACCAAGCCAATCCACAGTAGCACTCCGGCCATATCGGACCAACAGTCTGAAAGGTCGGAGTTCTCGAGGGCGTCTCGTAGTTGTTGGAGGATGGTATCTCCGCTGACTTCACGCATCAACACTTCTTGTTGAAGGGGAACGTCCGATGAGCTTGACTGCAATGACGAAAGCAAGGGTCGTGATGAGGTGGATGAATTCGAAAACCGGTGGTTGGAAGGAAAGCCTTCGCTGTATGAACCAAACATGGGGCTTTCGGAAAGGTCGGTAGCTGGACTGACATCTTGGGGGTCCAGAGTCGAGGAAAAAGAGCCGTTAGAGTGTGAGGCCATCGATGAGCTATACAAAAACGGTTGTATTTCAGGTAACTGCACACGGTCGAGCGCCTCCGACAGGGGCACTTGATCGAACATAGCCTGAGCCTGGACGATCGCAGCGAGGCGAATTGCCTCATACTTCCAGTCTTTCGTTTTCAGTATGGATGTTTTGCGGGAGGGCTGTACAGACCGAAATCGAATGATGCGGTCGTAGGCACTGCGCGATTTGTTAGAGCTGCCTGCACGCCTCGAGCTATTGGTGTCAAGCAGGTCCTCCATCATCGTGCGAACGTCTTCCAGGAGTTTTTGCGCATTCGCATTACAGTTTGCCGACCTCTCGATCGTCATGAATTTGCCGTGTGGATGGTATAGCGGCGATTCCGGTATCGTAGCGATCAAAGGATATGTCTTTAACGCCCGCATCTCGCAGTAGTCAACATACATCCGAGTGGGAGAGGCTTCCTGCAAAGCCGCGGTCGCGAGGTTTGCCCACGAGACTGCAGATGCTAGCTGGCCGTTGACACCCAAGGTTTGAAGTCCACCGCGCTGCTCGATCATTTTGGCAATGCCCATCTGGTGGTAGCGTAGACCTAAATCGGCGCGGCTTATGACGTCCCCCAGTATGAGTTGGCTGACGGCGATGATATTGTGATCCGCCACACTCTGCTCCACGTCGGTGAGGTGACCACCTACGAAATGTATGACATCTTGGCGCAGTGCCGCGGTTTCCAAACTCTCTATTTCTCGATTGTGAACGACATCATCGTATGCGGAAGCCATGTAGAGGGTGCTGAGGAAGGTGTGTGCATAGCTCAGGCATTCGGGGATCCAGTACCTACCCAGACCCTCCGTGCCGAAGTATTTGGAGCATTCAATCTTCAGCCTCTCGACGTTCACGCGAGTGTTCCTCGATTGAAACATAGTTCCGAACGGGTCTAGCCCATTCCCAAGACATCTCAGATCTGGTACTGGTTTTAGGTCGAATGGATACCGATGGCCACTTCTAATTGGAATAACAATGGGTGTCTGGGTGAGGGTCGATTGGTGAGGCGTGATCCGTGCTACCTGAGCATCATGATGGGGAGCCTCCTGGCTGCTGCTCGTAGACTGCGACAACCGATGTATCTTATCATCACTCTTCTTCTCTTTGACTCTCGGCGTTTTGATTGTTCGTGGTTTTGTGGTGCTTTGGGAACCTAAGCTCGATCGCGAATGATCCGAGGCTTCGCTATTGGCCCTAGTTTTGTCGCTGACCTGATTCTTTGTAGCTTTTAGATAGCTACCCATCGCGGTTTGGCGTACGGTTTGCATGGTGGCCTTTGATTTGAAATCGCTGGGTTTGGTGGCGGTTATCCATCGAAGGCTCGCATTGTCAGGTGACTTCGCCGTTGGCGAAGAGCTCGACTTCCGAGGCGGCATGAATTCTACTGGATATTAGCGATTGGCACCACTGAGTGAGCTGGGGATGGCGATCAGGGGTTCTGCTGATGTTGGTGATCGTGTTACACACCGTGAAGGTGCAGCATGCGCAAGCAGTGGACCTCGGCCGTAGCGAGAGCGCCTTCCGCATGTGGTACGCGCATCAAGTCCGTTCAATGATACGAAAAGGCACGCTCACCATTGAGTTGCTGCGGAGGCGACATGACATTTCCATAGAAGCTTGAGTCCGATGCGATCGTCGAGGGTGGTGAAGGATAGACAAATGGCATGTGATGGGCGGAGAAGAGCGGTCGCGCGGCTGGAGGGGCAGTCATTGTTGTCGACTAGCCCGATAGTACTCAAGGATAATTGGCAAGCGCGATGATGTTCGATTCGGTGATCGGAATGTAGTGTCATTCCTATGGCAGATGTTAACGATTTAGATGGAATCTGAGCAACAGAAGACGAAGGATCGATCGGTATCGGGTAAGGCTGAAAGCAATGGGGCCAGAAGTATATATACGCGGCTGGTGACAGTGTGCCTTGCCGCCCGTGAATATTTCCAGAAAGGGCGCAATTCCAGCCATACAAAGCTTTGTGCAACAGATGAAGCGGAAAGCAGGCAATTGTGCGTCATAAAGCGTGTGTTGAGTATGCGCAGCAACGTGCTGGTGCTGGGATGAGTATACGGTGAAGGCAGTCGTGGCTGAGTCCTTAATGCTTGTTGCGACGAGTGAACGAGAGGCCTGCGCGCCGGGGAGGAGGCATAGTTGGTTGCCTGAACGCCGACCCATTGCACTGGTGCTCGCTTTAGCGCGGGACCCGTCTTAGACGCAGCACGAGTAAGTAGGGCTTTCGGGGATCCGTCAAAACTTTGGAGCAGTTTGCCATGTTGGATGGAATGGGCTTGGTGCAATGCGCGCGTTGCCACTGTGAGCAGAATCACGAGGCTGTATCCTCTCAGTCCTTCTACAATCTCTGTGAGGGACTTCACCCACATCGATTGCCTCGTGAGGAGACCAGGCCCTTCATTGGACGTTGCTTCGCACGTGCGAAAGCTGACCTCCAAGCCCTGGAGACGCTGTAGAGGCCCAGCGCGTCTCACCGCCCGGTTGATGCCACCGCATCCCCAGAGCGCATGCCAACCCTGCTATCTTATCTAGACACAAAGTTTGGTCGAGCGGCGGACGTAGATGTCTTTACCAAGCCATTTCGTCCCATGGAACCCTTGGCTCAGCTACGTACCTCTCCGCTACACACGACACGAGACATCAGGCGATACTACGTTAGACGGAGCACACAGATACGACCGCAATCTAAACGTTCGCTTACCAGTTGACCAGCTACGTGGGTGCGCCGTGCCTCGGGATCCCGTACAAGACGCGGTAGAAGAGGGCAGACTGGTCGAGCTCACCAATCGCGAGGTATACTCCTCTTCCTGCCGTGAGGTTGGATAAGCAGCCCTGTGGGGTCGATACGACCCTGCATTGCTGCTCATTGGAGAGAGCAAAGCCAGACCCATATTTTGGGACCATCGATAGCACACGGCACCCCGAGTACCCAGATCGCCTAACATCACCAGGTGGCTGTTTAATTGTTCGAGTGGTGGTCAATGTGTGTTCAGCGGTACCTAGGTAGCGACGTCGGCCGAACCATTACAGCGAGTCTCGTGATGCGACGCCATACATCATCGTTGTGAGTATCGTGGGTTTGAATACACGGACCGCTTGCAAAGATGTACATAGCTGCATCAATGATACAATCCATGGGATAATCTGGTTATTACTACTACTGACGCATGTTGTTCAGCCCGAGGCCGAAATAATCACCGGGTGCTTGTGACGGACGTGTATCGCTACCAGCACTTACGTCGCTCCCACCGGGGCTAATGTCACCACTCTCTCGCGCCATCATACCAGTACCATCGGCCCCAAAATCACTGCCTGTGCCGTTCAATGCTCTGAGCCCATTGTTTCGTCCCCGCAGCGGTACATTTAGCCGTGCGGTTTCGAACGTAAAATGCGACTGGCCATGGACTGGTTCCGCTGATGGTGTCTTCAGCTCAACAAGCTCCAACGTACTTCGGAGTGTTGCGCCAGATTCATCAAGAGCCATAAGAAATCGCGCGAGTTCTTTGCATAGCTCCCAATCCTGTTCGTCTTTGGCGCGTTGAAGTAAGCGCACGACTTGATCGCCTGTCGGTCGCAGTTCTTCGAAAGTGTGAAGAACAAGGAGATAGCCACCTGCAGTCTTAAGATTCCCTTTCTGTAGCGATTCTTCGAATAGTTCTTCCGGTGGAGGCAGGTTCGAGAATAACGTCCGCCATGAACGGACCTCAGTTTTACGGGTACATTGCACAACAATGTCGAGATATCGGGGAAAGGAGCTCAGGAATGATAGCACGCTCGGCAATAGCGCCTGTTCGGGTGGTGGCTGCGTATCCACTTCTTCGTCCAAGACTTCATGCAGTAAGATCTCCAAAGCATGGGGGAAATATAGCAAATGCTGGTAATGGTGGCTAAGATGCAAGGCTGCAGGGTGATTGAACTGCGCCAGGTGACACCGCAGCAATGCGGGGAGAAAGAGGTGTGTCTAGCATGTGTGTCAGCATGAGATCAGTGTACCACCAATGACGCGGGAGCAGAGCGCAGAGACTTACCCTGGTTCCGAAGCGCAAGAACGCGAAGCTCGTATCCCTGCGTTGAATCAACTCTGACTCCACCCCGAATATGATTGCTTTGTTAATCAACGCCGAAAGAGGATAGAAGTCGACCGGGATTTGAACAGGCGTGGGCAGTTCCCTGCCGATCTCTGGTGACGCGGAAGCAAGGACGTCTTGCATGTCTATCCAAACTCGCATGTCGTTACCATCGAAGAACCACAATGAGTCACGTAAATCGTGGCCGTGTACACCCTCCATGGTCAGTTCCATAGAGGGGCTCGCCGGCAACGAATCGGCATGTCGGTCCAATGCGAACGCAGGGTGATCGCGCATAAGAGCATACGTCTCCACGTTCTGCGCGATGATGCGCATCTCGTATTTGAGTTCGCCACTCTCGGTAGTCGTTGGCTGCAGGAGCACAAGTTTACCATCTACGAGGAACAGGATAGTCGCGACCGCCACGTCCTGTGTTGGATCACCGTTATCTAAGACGTGTCAGCGGTTACAGTGCCGTAGGATCAAAGAACGTACGTATTTGATCTTCCGGTAATATCCAGCTAAGCGCTCGCACTCGTGTAGGAGCCCGAATGATGCCATGCAGGGCGATTTGACCCACTTGCACCAACTTCACACTTGCGTCGGACACACTGATTACGTAGTGGTACAATATATTCTCGTACGTGTAGACCAGGAGTGAATCTTCGCCGGAGGGTGCTATCAGTACGATGGGCGCAGGTAGCTTCTGCGTATGCATGACATGGCTGTTGTCAAGAGCCGCCTCGCGTGAATATACCCGGACCTTGACAAGTGAGTCAGTATAAATCGAACCGAGCGCCTGGATGTACCTACTTCGTGAGACTCGCGGCATTCGACAGCCGCAATCAAGACATGCTGGAACCAGCACATACCTCCTCGGACAGTGAACTCGTTTTCTATGAAGGGATCATCGAACATTTTCCACCGTCCACTGTTAACGGAGTAGTGGGCGAGCCCTCTCTTGCCTGCTATTGCCACATATCGACCGTCATTCGAAATGACTGCACTTCTAATCGGCCATTGGTCGACAAGGTAAGCCGATGGGATTTGAACATGGTGCCAGAGTGACACGTCGGCGGAGATTGTCGTAAGATCTGGCAGATCGTAACCGCGGTAAATCATGAATCCGGTACTGGTCTGCATCAAAGATCGTGACACATTTGCCGAAGAGAAGCAGCCAGTGACTGCACTGCGAGCCATCTCCAAAACAAAGAGACGATTGTCGTTGTCGCCCAACATCAAGAGCTCCGCGCCACCTCCAATCCAGAAAGCCTCTTTGACACTGAGAAGCCACCCTTCGTTGTTGGTCTTGGAAAGCGTCCTTTCTGCAGTGAAGCTGGTGGCCCCGGGCTTTCCGTATACACTCCACATGGCCCAACCGTGTTCATAGCCGGCGAAGAGACAGTACCCGTCTGGCGAATAAGTCAATACAGTCAATTTGCCGGGCGAAGTGACGTTCGGTCGTAGTTTATGCGATAGAGGGATGTTGCCGGTATAGTCGCGTGCCGTGTATACATGGATCTCGCCACTGGCACAGCCAACAGCAAGCAAAGAGAATCTCGCATTGATAGCAGCTTTGACACCATAATCGGCATCAGTCTTGGGTGTGTGGAAACCGTAGCCACGGAAGATACTAGAGACAGCGGCATCTCTTTTAGCCGCCTTTTGAACAGCATAGGCTCGACCGTTACCTGTGATCCAACACGACAGGTTCATGGGTCGATCGTGGACCATTTCTCGCATTGATGCGTTGCTCCCTAACCATGTCATCTTGGTCAGAAGCTCGGTGCTGGTCTGGCTTCCAGCGTTGTCCGGCGCCCAACGAATACATTGCACGGCTGCCGGCTTCTCGGTGGCCACGACCAACTCGTCGTCTAGAGCCAGGGCCCGAATTATCCCAGCATCCACCCGTATCACCATCCGGAACCGCAGACTGAGCTCTTTCAGGCCATTGCCCTCTCCAGGTCCTGCATTGACATCGTGCTGGCGCTGGATCTTGAAGCCTGTGATTGCACTGCTTTTCCTCGCGTGACCTCCGTGTGTGTTGGTGAATTGAGCCTGGTATATGCGGGATGAATGGTCTGTCGCGAGCGAGTATGTGATGAGGAAGCCGAGCGCGGTCTGGACGACGAAGATTTGGGAGTCGGGGCGGAGTAGGACGTCTGTATTAGGACCGTATGTTCTAACGGATTGCTCTGAACGGAGGACAGAGGCAAGAACTACTGTAGGCTGTGACGAATTAGCACATGAAGCGCCGGGCTAGCAATGACACGTGCCTTTGTCTGCCAGATTGTGAGGGTGGTTCTGGTGAGAGTCGCAAACATGTGACCACTCCTCGTCACTCTGATCGCGATGATGGTGCCATGAATGTCGTCCTCTACTGATTGAACCGACGCGCCTTCTTGCGGCGAGTGCGCGCCATTCTTCTCTTCTACCCCATTCTTACTTCCGGTAGAGGCCTCATGTTCAAATTGATTCTGCGATTGGGGGTTCGACCCTTCATGCGCTCCGTCCGATTGCTTGTGTTCGACGCCATCGTGCGAGGTGTTCGTGCGCCCAGGATCCGTACGTTTAGTGGCCGCGAAGACGGAGGGCGACGAGATGGGCCAATACGTCATGGCGGTCTACCGCAAGCGATGGCTGCATTTGCGCGCGCCCATCTCAATGCGGGGATGTATGCTTCACGGAGCTCATGCTAGCTGGGTTGGTGCAGGGGAGGCTGGTGGTGGAGCTGGGCGGTGAAGTCACGCGAGGCGCAGCAATGTGGCTGCTGCATCCGTGCTGACATGTGCAGGCAGTACGCGTATCGCGGGGGGAAGATGCGATGGCCGTCCCGCCCATGCACCACACTAAAATATTACAGCGAACGTATTGATTCAAGGGCTTATTGTAAGATGCGGCCGAGAGATGACGGACCGATGCCGAAAATACTGCATTGGGAAGGAAATTCTTACCGTCGATTACGGTGCGCAGATGCGCATTTGCGCACATGCATAAGCCAAGATTTCACAGAAGCCCCGAAAACATCCTGCTTTGCCAACTGGCCAGCGGCACTACTTGCAGCCACTCGATCTGAGGTGATATTGAGCGGCTGTTCAAGAAAACAGATCTAAATGTCTACGTTGTTTTGGGGGTTGGTTGACTTTCGTGCCTTGCACCGATGTAGACAGCAGGGCACCTGTCCAGTGCCCGGGTTGTTCCTTGTGTGAGGTGTAACAGTGAAATCGTACTCGCCCTTCTTCTTGAATTTTGGAGTGTGAAATGTAGTGTGCGTTTCAATAGAGTTGGGGTATGGCTTGCCACTGTTCCGCAGGTTGTGAGAAGCCTTTCTGGAAGCATGCATCGGCCTGTCAATGTCGCAAAGCGACAAACAGTATCCAGAGAACGATCCAACAGATTTCAGATTTAAACAGCCTGGGATTCAAATTGCCTCAGAGTTTAATCAATTTCTGGTCTTACGGGGGTACGCCCATATATACCTCAGAGTATCAATGCTTTGTTTGTTTTCTTCCCGGAACGATGTGACTTGGTAGCAACGCCGATCTTGACTGCTTTGGTGTTCTTCCTTTGTGGTTAGGCTGCATTTTGTCCAAGGTCAGCGTTGGTGTGGTCCATATTACCCAACTGCCCCGCATCGCTCAAGTGAATTTTCCCACAACCAACAAAGAGCTGGGGATATAAACGCACGATCTGCTCGGATCTTCATCAATTCCTAGAGAAGGACAGATGGCCGGTTAGTCTAAACACCTCCATCTTCAACGCATCCATTCTAACATCCCATACAGAGCTGGTTATGGCGCCAGGTTAAGGTTTCTTAACGTTAAGTCTAAGAGAGCAATTTCTAAGACATCCTGGTCACGAAAGTGGCGTGGGTTCGAGTCCCACTCTGTTCAGCATTCGTCTGGCATTGTCAGATACTCCAGGATATTTTTTTTCGCTGTTTTGGGTCACTTTGGGGCATCCCTTAGTCAACCCCTTGTTTTTTGCTGTAACGTGTCGCACATAACACAAATCCTTTCGAAGCCTTGTTCGAGAGACGTTCTTTGTCTGTATAATGTATTATTTACGTTCAAAACCTAATAGCTCGCTCAAGGTAATTCTGCACAATACTCGTTAACACAGGCAAGATCCTAAGTAATGCAAGCGTCTAAACCTGCTTCAATTATTGCGTATTAACAAGATTATACCAGAGCTATAACAACTGTCTTATATACAATACAGCATCTAACGTGTCTTCCTTTGTACAAGACCTAGGTCTAAGCACAGGGCAGCTATTATGTATGTACAGGCGCGTACTATAGATCACTACTCGACTATCAGAAGTCCCTATTGTCCTTGTAGTTCCCGCTATCATCTTCTTATAAGCAAGTAAGACTGAAGGTGCACAACAGCTCAAGAGTTTGTAGGTGCCCAGGTGTAGTGAGAAGCAAAGGCACAGAAGTGGTCGACAGAAAGAAGAGGACGAAGCCTGCGGATATGCCGAAACCTCAAACCAGCACTTCAATAATAGCCATTGTGGCTTCAATTGAGTTACCAATCCTTCAGTCGTTTGTCTAGAGGCCCGGATAGTTGTTCTTTACTAATAGCTCGGCTCAAACTTATAGAAGCCAGGCGACTGCGAATATAGCGGTCTATCACAAGGGTAAGCATAGCACCTTGTCTCGACTAACATCAAGTTCCAAGTGTAGGATTCTGATATCGACGTTCGGAGAGTTGGTGAACCGCGCGTGTGGAGCACATGGCTCGCCGATGTACTAGTCTCGATTAGGCTACGCTAGAAGAGAACCCCGGCCCGCTTGTCAGAAAAAGTTCGGGAAGTCGCGAACTTTTGCGACTTCGAGCTTGAAGACTGCGACACGACAACGACTTTCCCAAAATGGCCGGTATCAAACGCAAATCGACCGGCGCAAGTGCGCCCGACGCCAAGGACAAGAGCAAAAAGGTCAAGGTCGACAAGCCTACCACCAAGAGCGAGAAGAAGCGCGACGTTAAGCCGGTCAAGAAGGCGAAGAAGACCAAGGAAGAGAGCTCCGACGACTTTGAAGAGTCGGATACGAGCGAGAAGGACAATGGCTTCTACGGCTTCTCGGCGGCCGACGGTGCCGATGTCGACATGAGCGACGCCGACAGCAGCGACGAACAACCCGCAAAGTCCAACGGCAAGACACAAAAGCGCAAGGACGACAACGGCGCCTCAGACAAAGCCGAGGGCGAGGGTGTAGAGTCCAAGTTAGCGGGGTTGAATGGTAAGATAGAGCCATGTACCTTGCCTGGTGGTTTAGCTAACCGTCCCTCTAGTAAACAATTCGAAAGAAGCGCACGCAAAGCAAAAAGCCCTTGCCAGAGAACGAAAGGCCGCGAAGCCAAACGCCGACATCATCGAACGCTCCAAGAAGCTATGGGAAAAGCTCAGGCTGAAGTCGCATGTTGACAAGGAAGAGAGGAAAGGGCTCGTCAAGGAGTTGTTCGAGATCATAACTGGCAGAGTCAAGGACTTCGTCTTCAAGCACGACTCTGTGCGTGTCATTCAAACAGCCATCAAATACTCGACAATGGAGCAGAGGCGAATGATTGCGAGAGAGCTGAAGGGCGAGTTCAAGGTCCTCGCTGAGGGCAAGTACTCCAAGTTCTTGATCGCCAAGTTGGTGGAGAAGGGGTGAGTACAATGTCCACGCACGGCATAACATGTCTAACCGATCGCAGCGACCCTGAAATTCGCGACCTCGTCATCACCGAGTTCTACAGCCACGTCAAGCGCATGATCAACCACCCCGAAGCCGCATGGATCGTAGACGATATATACCGAGCCGTAGCCACTCCCGAGCAGAAGAACCGTCTTCTGCGGGAATGGTATGGTCCTGAGTTCTCCATCAAGGGTCTTTCTGCCGAAGGCACCGATAGCGCAGAGCTATCGGCCATCTTGAAAGAATCCCCGGAGAAGAGGAAGCCTATTATGGGCTACCTTGAGAACCAGATCAACTCGCTCATTCAGAAGAAGCTCACTGGCTTCACCATGCTGCACGACGCCATGTTGCAATACTTCCTCGTATGCGAGCCCGGCACCGAACAAGCGAACGATTTCCTCGAACACCTCAAGCCGGACCCAACGACCAAGGAGGGCGAAGAAGCCGACAACGTAGATCTCATGAAGAACCTCGCGTTCACAAAATCAGGGTCGCGATTGGTGTCGCTTTGCTTCGCATACGGCACAGCCAAGGACCGCAAGCTCTTCCTGCGGCCGTACAAGGACACAATGGAGACTATGGCTTTCGACCAACACGCCCATCACGTCCTTCTTGCCGCCATGGCAGTCACCGACGACACCAAGCTTTCCGCCAAGTCCATCTTCAGCGAGCTTCTACCCAGCAACGATGCCCTCCCTGAGAAGGTGTTGAACCTTGTCAATGATGCTCGCGCACGCACAGTCTTACTATACCCATTCGCCGCAGATGCGAAATGGTTATTGGACGACAACACCCGCGATCGATTGAACGAGTTGTATGTTATTCGCCAGACTACATCAAAGAAGGACCCAAACATTCGTCTGCAAGAAATTGCAAAGAGCATCGAGCCGCAGCTATTGACAGCTGTCACCGCCCGCGCTGCTGACTTTGCCTCCTTCACATTTGGACTACAATTCATGGGCGAGGTTCTCGTTGGAGCTCCAGAGATCGAACCGGCGAAGCGCAAAGAGGCACTGACAGAGGTCGCCCGTCTTTCACAATCGATCTTGGACTCTGCGTTGCCTGCTTCCGCCGGCGACAACAAGGCTACCAGCCACGGCAAGAACATGTTGAAGATGCTGGTCCAAGGTGGCAAGTTCGACCCCACCACCAAGAAGGTCGTTCCCGTAGAGCCTGCTCTCGGCTTTGCAGATTTGCTCTGGCCTCAGATCAAGTCTAACCTGCTCGACTGGGCGACTGGTCAGGGTTCCTTCGTGGTGGTGTCCATGACCGAAGCTGAAGGTTTTGCCAAGAAAGACGAAGTATTGAAAGCGCTGAAGAAGGAGAAGAAGGCGCTAGAGGCAGCTGCCAACCCTCCAGGCGCGCAAAATGGCGAGGCCAAGGGCAAGAAGCAAAAGAAGGGCGACAAGCCGGACGCGGCTCCTAGAGGAAACGCTGGAGCGAAGATTCTGCTTGAAAAGTTGTAGAGTAGCATGTATTTGATTCGAACATGTATGATGATACCCATGTAAGGCCTTCTTCATGCATTCCATGTGTTCCAAGTATCTTGCTACCCCCTTCATTACGTCTCCTCGGCATCGATGTATACTACATGCCCAGGTGTTGCCATGTGTCTTAGCAGTCCAAATCGGGAATCGCTTCCGCCGAAATATGCAGGCACACCCACCTACCAACCCGGACTTACACCGGTATTTGATCCATGGATACCACCACCCAATAACCTAGATGGTCAATCAATCTACCTTCCGGACCACTTCATCTCGTTTACTAATTATCTCTCCTCAAAATCAACTTGGCCGCCACTCTAGTATCACCATCGCGGCTACCCAACTTTCATATTCTCTCACCTCTCATTCGCATACCACATATTCCCGCAGTACACATTTCCAAAACCCACCCAAGAACAAAATGTCACGCAACTTCACCATCGACGA